GCTTAGTAGGATACAGACTATAGCCTTATTGGGCAGGGATCTGTCATTCTTCAATCTTTTGTTGATTGCAGAAGGTGTTTTAGCTGGCTGGGATTTTACAGTTTTTATGTCTTGTGAGGTTAAGAGCCCTTCATACATTTAATTCGGCTTTAGCCACTTATCTTGACTAAATAAGTAATCAGCAAATCAACTTCTTGGGATTACAAATTGTCTTTAGTTGTCCTGCCTGTAAACGGAACATCCTGTAACTGAGTTGGCAAGGCACTTTGATATAATGTAAATACAAGAAACTGTGTAGTGCAATGGCTTACTTGTGGATATTCATGCAGGATAGAAAACCAAGGCACTTTACCAAGGTTTATGAATGTTTGGCAGTATCAGATGCCCTAATTTTATTTGTGTTTGCAGTCACTAGTGGAGGCTTACTTTTTCTCAAAGGTTAGGGCTACAAATAAAAGAAACACTGGCTTGTAATGTCTATTGATCCTCAGTTCATAATAATGCCTTGCTACTGTGGAGGGCCATTGCTTATCCTGTCTACCATGGTTTGCTTTTAGTCTTAGCTACAAAGGCTTTTAAATGGGCAGGTAGAAATGTTCTCTGGAATGTTTGCTCTTCCAAGTAGTTCGAATTTAACAACCAAGAATATGTTAAACTGATATCATGCTTTAAACCCACAAATACAAGAACGACCAAACACAGGTCCTCTTCTTGCCTCGCACCTGCTGATTGGAAGGTCTGCAAACAGCAGGGAGGTATAAATGAAATGTATTACAAGATAAGCCTTCCAAAAGACCAGGAAGGCAAAAGCTCTTTCTCTAGGAGGTGGTGTTTTCCATAGGGTAAGGTAGGCTGCCTGGACCTGGTGGAGCTTGAAGCTGACAACCAGCAGAGAATACAGTCATGAACAAATAGGCACTGAAAATTAAAAAAAAAAAATCAGTGACCTTATAGGAAGCCTTCGTGCTGTTTAAGAATTTACTGACCCACAGGCAGACACTGCACACAAACGCCCAACTTCTGCTGGGAATTCTGTGCCAGGGATTGCCTGCAGCCTCTGTCCTTTACTTCTTTCTTAAAGCAGCCAGGTTCCACAGCAAGAACCCAAGGGCTTTGTCCCTCAGGGATGGCGTGGGACTAGCCTCTCTGCCAGAGCTGCCTCTGCACTGCTGTTTGCTTGCAAACATTTAGTTACCAGGAAATGTGGAGTCAGCTCTGCTCCTGCTCCACTTAATTTCCATCACCCCATGCAGTGGATTTTTCTCTTCTGCTGCCCCAGCTGTTCCCGCTTTTCCCAGGGTGGCAGCATCCGCTCCAGCTGCAATCTGTGCTTCCAACAAAGTTCCTTAGTTGCCTACTTGACCTTAGCTGCCCTGCTTGGAGTTTTCATTTCCTGACGATTCCAAACCAACATTAAAAACACTGTGGTAGCAGCTGCAGCGATAGCAACTGACAACAGCATTAATGGAGACGGTGGAGGGATGTTGATGCAGGAGCATGCGCTGGGTTCAAATGCTGCATGCGCTCCTGCAACCCAAGGCTGATCACTTAACTTATCGGAGCTTTGGTATCTTTGATCAAAGGCTTGCTAATCTCTTGTAGGAATTATAAAAAGTGAGGTGTAAAACTCTATATGGTAGATTTTTTTTTCATAGCTGAGGACCGAACCCAGGGTCTTGCGCTTGCTTGGTAAGCGCTCTACCACTGAGCTAAATCCCCAACCTGGTAGATTCTTCCTAGGGTCAATTTTCAGTTCTGCTTCCTTTTAGAAGGCATAAGCAACTTTCCCAGGTTAGTATGCAAATATGCAGGACAAGTAGCAGCCCCACCTTCTGCACATTGTATGGGGACTGAGCAGGAGAAGAATTAGAGGCTATCCAGGTCATACACGAAATTGGAAACCACAAGGCAGGGGACTGATGGATGTATGAATGTGCAAGACAATGGGCTATAGGAACTGACTCCAGAGTGTTCAAGAGTTTATGGAGATGATGCATTTGATCTTGATCTTCAGAATCTGTACTGTTTTAACAGACGAGAAAAGGGCCTCATGAGGGGGAGCAGGACAGAACCAATGTCAGGGGTCGGACATGGAGGTATGGGAGAAGCGTGAAGCTACAGTTTTGGCCGCAGCAGATGGTTGCTTGCTCTGCAGTGGTGGAAGAGTTCACTAACAAAAGATATTGGGATTAGGACTCCTTGCCAGCTTAGCAGATAAAAATTTAGAGTGGCCAGTTATTTGTACATTTCAGACAAGCAATGAATGAACTCTCAAAGTAGGCTGTAAATACCACATACATCGTATTTACATTAAAGCATTTTTGTGGTTTATCTGAAATTCAAGTGTATCTGGGCATCTTCCATTTTATCTGACATTTGTTCAAAACTTAGAAACATCATGCCAAACATTCTGAACTTGACTCCTGTCTAAAATTTTAAAGACAGGAGTACGGTGATGAACACAGCATTTTCACAGAGATCAATTTGACAATCCAGAAAATGCAGGAATCGTTGACAAACTAAGGAAGGGAAGAGGAAGGAAAGAGAGGGAGAATATGGGAATGCTGGTTTAGAGGCAGGAAGATTAGCTCTCTTCTAGTTGAAGCCCTTGGTTTCATTGATATATAAAAAGAAATCTCCTGTTGGGTTACTGGGAAGAAATATTTATTGTTTCCACCACTTAAAGAATTATGAGACCTAAAGATCTGAAGGAAAGTGTAGCATCTAGCATGTCAGTATCCTTGATGAACATTAATCCAGGCCCCTGGGACTATGAACACGAACAATACAGAACTAGCATCAAGAGCCCACCATATACCTCCAGTGCTGGGGTCACTGTGGTGTGCAGTAATAGTGGCTGCCAGTGAGTCCCAGTGATGGCATGTGCTTTCTGAAATACTATCGCACTGTTTGGACTCACAGCCTAGATAAGGAAGACGTTTAAACAGCAATGCCCCTCTGGCTTATCCAGCAAAGTCAGAAAAAATCAGGGTCATACTTTTAATTAAATTTTTAAGGTTTATCTAGTTGCCAATTAAAATTAGTTTTCCACATTCATTGTCTTTTTTGTTTCAATAGTACAAACAAATCTTTTTTTTTTGCTTGTTTGTTTATTTTAGATAAGGAAATTTCTTTTGTTTTTTAAACATTTTTATTATTAAAAAAACCTTTTAACTTTAAATATATCTTGATAGTATTCTTCCCTTCCCCCAAGTCCTTCTAGATCCTCTCCCTATCTACCCAAATTTAAATTCTTTCTCAAAAAATAAAAACCCAATAAAACAACAATTTCCCAAACCAATAAAAGGAAAATATAACATGACCCCCTCCAAAAAACTCACCAAAATGTAACCAAATAAAAGAACCCCCACAAAGAACTGTGGATGCCTTTATATGTTGGTCAACTACTCCTGAGCATGAGACCTGTCCTGGAGTGATTGATATTCCCATTGTCACTCCATTGGAAAAAACTAATTTTCCCTCTCCCAGCAGGAGTAAGTGACAGTTCAGTTGTTAACTTTTACGCTGGTGGCTAGGTTTTCACTCATACACTCATTTACTCTTTCATTCACTTTTAAAAATATAAGTAAATAAAATGTAATAGGAGAAAACCAAAACTATCACATTGAAGTTGGACAAGAGAAACCAACAGAAGGAAAAGAATCCAAGAGAAGGCACAAGAGTCAGAGACCCAGTTGTTCACACACTCAGGAATCCCATAAAAACACTGAACAAGAAGCCACACTATAAGCACAGAGGATCTGTTGCAGACCTGTGCAGGTCCTGTGCATGCTGCTCAGTCTCCATGAGTTCATATGAACTTTCCTCATGTCAGCGTTGAAGGCCTTGTTTTCTTGAAGTCCTCCATCCCTTCTGACTCTTTCCATAACCTCTTCCATGAGGTTCTCTGAGCTCTGAGGGAAAGGATTTGATGGAGACATCCCATTTAGTGTTCACTGTTCCAAGGTCTCTCACTTTCTACATAATGTCTGCTGTGGATCTCTATACTTGTTCACATCTGCTGAAGAAGGAAGTTTCTCTGCTGATGGTTGATAAGGCACTAATTATATTTTTCTACCTAGGTCTGAGTTACCTTACTCAGGATGATTTTTTTCTAGCTTCATCAATTTGCCTGCAAATTTCATGATGTCATTTTTTTTAACAGCTGAGTAATACTCCATTGTGTAAATGTATCACATTTTTAAAATCCATTCTTCTGTTGAGGGGCTTTTACTTTGTTTTAATTTTTTGGTTATTATGAATATGGCAGCAAAGAACATGGTTGAGCAAGTATCTCTGTGGTAGGATGAAGTATATTTTGGGTATATGCCAAAGAATGGTGTCACTGGATCTTGAGGTATATCAATTCTCGTTGTTCATTTTACATAAGGGGATTTCTAAGGTTATCATTTTGGAAAAATTTTCAACATGGACTTTATCTCTTTTTATCTAATTTTATGAAATTAATCACATTGTCTAATTTGCTTAAATGTGGTCTGTTGAAAGCTAATAGTAGTTTATATCTTGCTGCTATTTTTGACTACTTCCTTAAGCAATTTTATAGAATATTTTGTTGTAAGGCACAAGATTGAGGCAATTTTTCTAGTTCTGAAGTTGATTTTAGAGGATGCTGGTGTATTTGTAAGTGATTTTTATCTTCCACTAAAGAAGACATTAAAGTGAGTATTTTCCCAATCCTGTTGAAAATAGTGCCAATCCCAGAGCTTACCTGGGCTTTATTGTATTTAGACATGTAGAAATTAATATCAGATGCTCTGATAACAGGTCCAGCTCTGCTGCTGTTCTCAAAACATTTTAATGGGGTATACTAGGTGCATATACCTGACAGCAACTTATAAAACATACAAGTGACTCATTTTAGTTGTTGATGATCAAGTTTTTACTTTTCAGCAAATTATTCTTGCCATGTGATACAGAATAAACTTCATGTGTGACCCAGAGAAGTGCCATTCTTTCATGACTTTCTTAATCCCCCACAGGTGAGGTTGTTTTCTGAGGTGACATGAAGATATAATGATACAAATGACAGAAAAGACATCTCCATTGAATTTTTAAGGAAAATGTCATCCAAGGATGCCTAATTCACAAGACATCCATGCAGGAGAGGCTATTCTAGAAGACTAACCATCAGACCCATCAGTTCAGATGTGAAGTGGAGATTATCAAGTCTACTCACTACTGCAGTCATCTCCCTGAGTGGACTGCTGGCCTGGGACATGCTGTTCTTCACACTACTGAACAGCTGAGGTAATTTGCTTGTGTTTGTGGGTTTTTGTGTTCTGAATTCAGAGATTTGAGGCTACATAACCCAAAACAGGTTAAACATCTTCATTACAAGAGAAAAGACCTTTGTGCAACTCCTTGAGACTCTCTTAATTCTAAAGCACATCAAGATGCTCAAAACTATTTTTATTTTTCCATTAAAATGAATGGATGCAGAACACATGAAAACTGAGTGGCTAAACATATTGGCAGAATATTTGCAGATATGTAGTAATCACTCCAGTTTTAATCTTGGCTGAAGCTTTTTCCTTCATGACTAGAATTGCTACATTCTCTATAAAGTCCGAATCTCTGTCTTGTAAATACTGGAGAAAATTCTTGAGGATTATCTGACTGAATTAGAATTTAGGAAAATTGGGCTTCTTCCCAAATCCCTTGTCTAACTCTATGGATTCACCTCTGAGTTGTTCTTTAAAAATACTGTTCACTTTTTACCCTTCACCTTAGTTTCATTGTCTGATACACCTTGAGTTGGCTTTGCCTGCTGTTATCAATGCCAAATCCTCCTTCCTGTTACTCTCCATGGCTGCTTTTCCTCACTCCTTTTTCAGAATGATAAATGCCTAAAGCAAGTAAACACTAGAGTTCCTCCAGATTCTCATGAAAGTGGGAAAAAAAGTGGTAAAGTATGGAGAAGTGAAGAGGAGAGGAGGGGAGGAAATGGAAGAGGAGAGGAAAGGAGAGGAGAAGAGAGGAGAGGAGAGGAGAGGAGAGGAGAGGAGAGGAGAGGAGAGGAGAGGAGAGGAGAGAGAAGGTGAAGGTGGGCTTTTTTTTGTCCTTAAATGAGAATTCCCTTCTCATTTTGAATGACCAGCTATTGCTGTTTTCATGGCTGCTTGTTCTGTCCCTCTGGTCTAAGTTTCTTTCATTCCCTCAAAATGCAATGATACATATTCTGAAAGTGCTCAGCTGTGCTGCTAGACACTAGGTGTACTGGAATAAGCACTAATGCAAAGCTGGTTTGGCTTAGGGGTAAGAAGATCAGCATTTCCTTTCATGTAGAGAAGGTTTCCAAGTCCCGCTTTCTAATATCTTCTTATATAATGTGGAATAATTGAGTCTTTTTAAAAATAGACCTAATGCCCTTTGCCTGGAGCTGTCAACCCCCACCCCCTTTTAAAGTAAATTAGTTAGACTTTTTTAAAATCTATATCCTATAAGATAAGGTTCTTTGGAGAAGCCATGCTGGCATGCACACACATTTTTACCCAGCTTTCACCCTTGGTAGATGAGCCATTAACATTTGCTAAAAGTTATGACTCTGGTGTGCATTTTATATGATTGAAAATTGCATCAGTAAGTTTTCACATCTGACAATCTACCACATCCACTGACTAAAAGGATACTTTCATGAAGAAAATGCATTAAAAACCTGGTTAATCAATGTGAACTAAAGATGCCACAAAAGCAGTTTTATTTTCATGCACAGCAACAATGACTCTTCAAAGACGAGCTTCAGTGCATGGTGATTGTGAATGTGGGGCTGAGTTAGGTTGATGGAGACAGTTGTCCAAGTGGACGAGGCTGATGCTTAGACTGGACAGACGTAAGTATAGTGGGAAGTGATAGGAAACCTGCTACTGTTAAAACCCAGTAGGAGACAGGATGCATGGAAGAAACCCGCAGGAGACCCGGGGGATGTTTGTAGCATATGGGAAGACAGAGCCATCCAAGAAAGGTGGCACCCTCGTATGCCAACAGTCTTTCTGCTTAACTTGATATTAAAAATGTGCTATAAGAGCCTCATATTTTTTAGAATAACCCTCAAAAGTTGAGGAATCTTCTCTTTGGGTTACTCCTTTTTTTTAAATGTGGGAAAATATTGTGGTTGCAAATGAATATATAAATATTTTAACACTTTAAAAGCTCCTAGAACCCATTTAAATGATTACTTGTCAAATGAGTGTATTTCTCATCTCTGGATCTCTCTTACAGGCTAAATGAAAGGAAGCCTGTATTAATTCCTTTCCATGTAAACAGTACCCAAGTGTTTTACTGACTGAGGAATGCAGTGGAATAGAACTGCCAGTTTATCACCATTCCTCCAACTAATGCACAGATTAGAGTCCCTGGAACAAAGGTACCGTGTGCTGATGTAATTTATTGTCTTTGGCACAAAATATTGTCTGCCGTGTTGTGAAGCAACGTATAGCCCTGTATTTTATACCTTCTTGTCATAAAAATTGTGAGCATAAAAATTAAAAAACAATAGCGTTCCATCCAAACACACTCTCAGCCTCCAATAAAGGCAACACAATGCAATCTGAAATCCTTCCAACAGAGGGCTGTATGTGCTTGATTTAGATCAAGAAAGAGAGAGAAAATGGTTTGGATTTAGGTTGCTATAGTAAATTCTGCATTATACTTAAAATAGAACTGATAAAAATGGAGTCAGTGAAGTTGAACGGGGAAGAAGCATCCTAAGATGAAATGTAAGATTCACTCTTACAAGACAGAATTTTATAAGTCTTTGAATTGATGTTCTTTTGAAAAGAAAAACTATATTTTACCATCTATAAATAAGAAAGTAGGCAAATTGGAGGTAATCTGTGCTTTAAACTACTATTAATATTACCTCAATCGGATATATTTTAAAAAAGAAAGGGAGTGATTGCATGTATTCTCTTTTGGATGCTTTCTATCTTTGATGTTGGAGAATAGCTGAGTGTTATTATAAGCAAATGTATTATGTATATAAAATGCAGCTAAATATTTAATATACAGAATATATGTTTGTGTGCATGAACAATGCAAAACGTTTTTAAGATATTTTACAAAAACAAATGATACCGTTTCCAAAGGTGGATCACAAAGGCACCTGAACAAGCTAAAATGAAGTATATACTTCTTTGTGCCAGGCCAGGTTTGTAATTCTATTTCAGATTGCAGAGGCTTACAATATATCTGTTGGAGTAAAGCAAAAAAAAAAAAAAAGAAAGAAAGAAAAGAAACCCATAAATTACCGCTAGAATGTAGATCTTTGTCTTTCAATTTTAAGGCATGCTTTATTTTATCTGATTTCTTCAGTGGGTTTTGAAATGTTCATTCCATTCTATGAGCAGAAAGCATTTTCAAATTTTGATACTCGTCTTACATGTAGTTAAAAATACTTATTTCATTTAATGCAGACCTAATTTAGTGGTATCAGTAATATTCTACTCAGATAAATCATTTTCAGTTTAGCCATATTTTCTAAAATATATATACCTAAATTTTTAAACTGATCCCTTTAAGACAAACTCTAGATCCTATTTTAGACACTGGCCTCATTATAAATGCTTTTATTTCTACAAAAGTATTTCTTTATGAATCCCCTTGAATATAATGCAGATTACAAAGTGCTATTCTGGATAGGTCACTAATAACTAGACTATATATACATGTATAATAATCTTATACTAATATATTTTGTGTTTATAATCCATACCTTAAAAAAACTCAACTATTTATTAGTGATATAATACTATGATCTTTTAAATTTTTTTGCTACACTATCATATATAGATTTGATAATATTAATAAGTTAAATCCTCTTTTATTAAGACACAAGTCCCTACTATACTCTGTTATAAAGAAAATAAAATTTTGTGTGATTGTCTGCAGCATCACTTTTATTTTTTTTCTTTTATAAAACAGTCCAGAAATACTGCATTGTCTGAACAGTTGCAGCCTGGATGTTCACATGGAATCTGAACAGCCATTTCTGTATTTCCATTTGTCTTTTGCAATAACTGAGGAAGGTAGACTAATAATACCCAAAGAATATTCAATCCAAAATATATGCATGACTATGGAGTATTTTTAAAAAATATTTTGTTTGATTAAGCTTTATTGAGGGAAAGTTGAGGGGCGGGGACACAGATTGTGGATTTCCTAATTAAGGGTCAGTCATAGCAAATGACTTCAGCTTCAAGGGGCTGCCATTTTTCTGTTGTAAATTTTACATGTATTTATGGAATCCTGAAGTGAAAATTCTCCTGGAATATCCCTCTCTTCCCATTTAGTGAGTATCGCTTTATTTGGTTTATGTTTTTCCCATCGATGCTCATATTGGAGACAGAGCACTGAACCTTTAGGGCACAGTGCAAGAGTACAGAGGGACACACTTGGAGCTGTTCTACACAGTGTCTTCCTCCAGAGCAATTGTCCCTTTTCTGTCATAGAGTCCAGGTAACAACTAATCTTCATCAATATTTTATTTATTTATTATTTCTACTTAGAGATGACTACATTTCTAACCATGCAAAATGCTGAGTAAGAATAATGTGGTTTTGTCCTGAACTCAATTTTGATTGAAGGTGAGAATAACTCAGTTGCAAGTATACTCATATATAATTCCAGCGACATATATCTACAGGTAAACATTTTAAAAGGAGTTCTATTTATTTTCTCATGATAGTCCCCATCATATTTATGCCAAGACATAAATCAGCATTATTTGCATCTGTGACTATTGCTTTTATGGCTAAACAAAACAGCAAAACCACTAATATTTTCTATAAGGAGCACACAATGTTAATGATTTGTTCTGTGCACCTGCCAGCTTGGTTTGCTGTTAAAGCCACCCTGGAAATTCTCATTTCTTTGTGCAATATTTTATGCTGTGCTTTTCTTCAGGGCAGATTGGTTCTGCCTGCACTTTATTCCTGAACCCGTGTTCATTCAAAATGGACTGCCAGACTTAAATGCTCTATCTAGTGTTACCACTGCTGCTGCTGTGGGGGCTGCTAGCTAGCAGCGCCCCTCCCCCATCTCAGCTCCTGCCCTGTCCTCCTGCCCTACCCTGCCCTATCCTTTGTTGACAATGGACCACCGTTGTCAACAAAGAGTGTACAATGGTGGAATACGCAGCAATAATTTTGGTAATGTTTTGCTTTGGATATTTGGAAAGTGTTTCTGAAGTGTATGAATAGATGCGCCCTAAGCTTTCCCTCTTTCTGGATTTTAATATTTGGAGATGAGCTCTCATCCCACAGGGCAGCCTCGGGGACTGCAGTGGCTGGAATGCTTTCAGAGAACAAATGTGGCTCTGTGGCTCTCTCTTTATAATAATATTAACACCATATAGATTTAATAACAGGGTGATGGAAAACATTTTGATGATGGGGCAAATTCTCTAATCTGCCAAGGAAAGCATCTGATTTTCTCATGTACCAATTAATTATTGAAGCAACTGAAAATAACAGGCTGCTATGCTTCCTTCCTGCAAAGGGATGCAGCTTCGTGTGTGTGTGTGTGTGTGTGTGTGTGTGTGTGTGTGTGTGTATACTTGTCTGTGGAAGCCTGGCCAGAAATTTCTTCACTTTGTCCTTGGAAATTAGCGGGAGATTGTCTGTGCATGTCTGATCCGACAGTAGTATTTCTGTAGAATAGGAATGCAACCATTTTATATTCTCCGTTTGAGTATTTTTTCTTTCACACCCTTAATAGGCCTCATTGTGAAACACTGCGTTTTATTTTAATTTCTATTTCTGGATTGTGTTTTATTAGCACCTTTTTTTTTTTGTTTTACAGTCCACTCACTGGTGCAGCACCAGATCTGTTGAGAACAAATCCTGTTTTGCTTTATGTCCCAATATGCACCATTCTACTGTATGTAGCAGTCCATGTATATATTTACTCCATTTAATCTGGTTAGTTTTAGAGAACTATTTCATGATATCCAGCCCCGAGTTCATCTTTTCCCCTAGAGACTGTTACTCCATAAACTTTTTAGGTAGAAGGAGGTTGTATTCTTGGGTTATTGTAAATTTGTTGCTTTGTATTGTGACAATAGTGTTCCTATGCCTGACACCCTCATAATAATATTAAGCTCTATTTTTTAGTGCGATGTACTTTATACATTTGTATAAATGTCACAGCCCGTAATCACTTCCTTTGTCATCGACGATTAATCTAAAAAAATCGAATAATTCACTGCCCCTTGCCATTTACATATCGTCTGCTGCCATCTGCTCTTCTCAGCAGCAGTAAATGATGGGTAATTAACTCAGTGCCTTTGTCTTTCCCTTGCTGAATGTCTGACACATATAGATTTTCCTCTCTGTGTGGGTGTGTGTGTATATGTGCATGTAAGAGGAAGAGGGAGGTGGTGAAGAGGAAAGTGCAAGGGAGAATGAGTGATACCGCAGTGATGGAAGCCAGCGTTATAGATCACTGAAGGAGAAAAAGGCAAAGACACTGTTCAGATGAGTGGCCACACCTCATGACCTCATGTCTTCACAAGTCCACTGGAACAATGACTTTCTCGCAAAATTGAGAGATTTTTCTAAAGCCTTGGAAGCCAAGGTAATAATAGAAAGTCAAGTAAAAACTCTATAGAGTCCTCCATTTTAGCAAGATGCAAAGAAAGATGATGCAAATGTGATAAAATGTAACTACAACTAATGTAATGTTCTACTCGACTTCCTACCTGCAGGTGAAATCAGTAGTAGAGAAGTGATGTAGAAGAGAAATCTCAGATGGCTGTGATGCTTGACCTAGTTCTAAAAGCAGGAAGTGTCAAGAAAAACCTAGAAGGGCTCAGGAGACTCGAACGTTTGTAGAAATGCTGCTTTTAGAAGAGAACAGTATTTCTATCCTGGATTTCGATAGATTTCCATTGACTATATGAATTCTTCCATGCAGGAGTCTCCCTCCATGCAGAAGGCTCCATATATACCATTATTCAGACAATTCTTACTTGAAACATCTATCTTTTAACATGCATTTTTTTTTCTGAAATGTGGCTGAATTTGATAATGCTAAAAGACCAACAGTTGGAAAGGCACAAATGAAGAGAAACTTACAATTTAGCTTTGTTTTAATCCAAAGTCAAGTTGAAATATAGTCCGAGTTCCAGAGTATAACCACAGTCTTTTTTGCATGGAATTCTTAAAGCATTCTCTGACTCGAGCTGGTCCAGCCCTGCTGCTTCTAACTTAGGAAAAGTGGCTTTTACTCTTCTCAAGGTTACCCTGTACATTCATCCTAAGTATACACATACATACATGAACAAAATATATTTTAGTCACTCAGTAAGTTGAACATGTAATCTATAGTGATGCAAATCTTGACCTTCATGCCTAACTACTCACACTGGCAATATCTTTAGTAGCTTTCCATTTCATGTGCTCACAGTTCCAAAATTGCTGGCTTAAAGGGAACTACCCATACAGAAGTCCATACAGAAGTCCAGGCAGATTCCAGGGACTTATTTCCGTAAGCACATGATATTTTACCATGCAGTCCTATCTCAATACCTCTACTTTTCTGTCTATGCAGTGGCTATAAAGGTGTACTCCCATTTTTCTGTCTTTAAAGTAATGAACGAATGCCTGAAAACATTGATCTTTTTCCTTAATTTCAGTCTTTGTGATAACTCTTGCTTCATTCAGTCTATCATCACGGGACTTCTGCAGGCTAAATTATGTGTCTATAATCATAAAACAAC